AACTTTCGATGACCAAAAATGCAGACAGCTTTATCGCCTACGTGTTAACGCTATACGTATAATATACGCTTCCACTTGACCATCGCCTCTGATACTCCCTGTAAATCCTTGTGACAGTCGCATCTGCCGCGTATCGGCCCTCTCTCCTTCTTTCTTCCTTTCCATCGACCAGCACCGAAAATTAATTGAACCCCTCCTTGACGTGCCGTGCGTTGGTGTTCGTAGTATCTCACTCCTCTACAGGCGGACATCACGGATCGTTAAATTTTCTTTACGATATCAGTCCCGTTTGAAACGCGTCACTGAAATTAAGATGGATCTTCCGAGTACATATGCGTATACCTACCCTCGCGGTGTATAGTCCCCTACGATAACGCGCCAAGTGGATTCACCTGTCGGATATCCCGTCCCCGCACCGCTGGAAAGAAAAACATTTGACACAAATTGTTTTATTTTTCTTGTGGTTGCATGAAATCTTGTTTTCACCGCGGGCAGAGTACATAGTGTGTAACCTAATTAGCTGAACTGGTTCGGAAAACCTTTTCATATAGTTAATATAGTATAAGATGGTTCGAAAGAGCATAGCTATATTTCTCTTGTAACGAAAGATACTGTCGTTTTGGTAACACCTGTTTCACAAACTCGATCCGTAGACAGCTAATTTATTTCTTCGCTTGTGGCGGGGAACATAAATCGTACAAAGTGTCAACGGTAAGCCCGAAAAAGTCCCATCGACTTCCTATCGATCGTTAATACGACGTACATATATGTATGTAAAATCATCGTGACATACGGAATATGGAAATATTCTGTCGGAGAGACGTAAATCTCTAGGAAAGTATCAGTTGTCTGTAAGTAACCGCACAGTATTCAAGAGTCAAACCAGTATAATAAGAGTAGAATAACGATTTCTATTATTATGTAAAACATATGTCGAAAGTGAGAAACAATCGCAAACACAGGCTGCCTTCGCATAAGACGGAGTCAATGAAAACCGGGCCGTTATTGGTCTCGATGAATGCAGATTGTTCTTGAACGCGTAACGAATTACAGATTATACGAAACGGAGAGTCGACTGATTCAAAGTCGAAGATAAATTCCGTATTGCCGAGCGATTCGTGACGACGATGCAATCTTTACGTTGCATCCACCTTGACACAGAACGCGACATTCCACTTGGCAATCGGTCACGTACCATCTCGTGCCGCGATCTGCTCTTCATCTGCGTTCATGTGCAACCTCTTCCCTTTGGCCAGCCTCGGTTTATAAACCGGAAACGGTGCGCGCTTCCCGCGAACGTGGCCGATTACCATCGGACAACGCGATGCAACGCCTGTCCATGAAAATGCAGACTACCTAATTGCACGTATTCCAGTTCTTCCGTTGTCGCACAACCGTACGTCGTACGCCACATTAACATCGGTACCGCTCGATTACGGTTCCTCGTTTCGGAGTCAACCGGGGATTCTATAATGTTCGAATTCGCGATAAAATTTCTTTATGAGGGCGACAATTGTTTGACACACGTCATGTATTGTACAATTCGTTTTGCGACGATAGCACCCTACGCTGCGTAACAGAAATTTATTATTTCATCGGTTAACTTGAATGAGTTCGAGCAAACTGCATTTAAGGGGCACCTCAATGACTGTCATTAATCACGAAGAATCCGAGGTAACCAGAACCCGTCAACAGGTTACCGACAAGGAACAAGCCGAGCAAAATTTTGAGCAATCGAAAAAACGCATTCGAGTAATAACCGTTTCTGGTGAATTTAATCGAGGTTTCTTTTTTTATTACTAATGGAACGATTGTAAATGCAAATTCGACCAATGATTGTCTTTCGATTGATATTAGCAGAGTTGTAAATTACGTTGTAATTCAATTAATTTAAATGAGACTCGGACGAAACTTTTAAGAGGTTGTCAAGCCTTTTAATATCTTTCGCGTTAAATGCTAATATTGCGGTAGCTTTGGTTTCGAGGGATCCGAACGAAATTCTTCTAGCAGTATACCTTATACCACAGAATGCTTCGACAATACGCGTTGACCGCTGTATTTTGCTTGGACCGCTCGGCAATTAGGTTCATGCAAATAACACATGGTCAGAAAAACGCCTCTCAAATTGCAATCCATTCATCACACGTGCCTCTGTCTGCATTTCTCGCGAGAGATCGCGAGGAATTTCAAAGAATACGTCGAGATGGTAAGAAACGCGGGATAATACGAATCTGGGACGCATAAAACATAGTGTGGAGTATGTTATTCTGACTTCTTCAAATCTCGAAGTTGTAGCAACAACACTTAACGAGTCTTTAAGGGTCATAATACTTTTTAATCTTACATTGTTTTCTACTACTTCTCGACTTGTACGAGTCGCGTATTCAGCGAACAGTCATCCTCCCCGGTGCGTGTTATGTAATCGAATAACTGGTTCGCGAATTTATCTCCTCGATCGCTTCTTTTGCTAAAGCTTTCTCGTGAGCTCACCGCAAACCGAAGTGCTATACGTCGAAAATAATCGTTTCATCGGAAATCTCGAAAAGTATAATTTCTGTACCGAAGCAAATTACACGGAGGACCCAGTAGGGTATACATTACAGAAGGTCTTTTTTATTTGAGGAAAGAATATCAAACGATTATTCGCGCGTAAAATTAGTTCGTCGAATAACTGTTTTCAGATGCATCGAATGGGCGTCGCTGGAAATTATACGTAGGTATTCCGTCCCAATTTCGGGTATAATATCTTGTCCTCTCCTCAGTATTACCTTCGTATACCTATTAATATTTATTCAATAATCACAAAATTGAATGACGTATAAGCTATGGATTGAGGTTTTAATTTATAGTTTAATTAGCTGGCTGATACCTTCGCAAATCATTTTGGTCGTGAACAACATCTCCACGCGATGAATTAAAATCAAATATATCACATTTTTATCGGTATATGTTAATACACCGATAACTTTTTAGACTTTGGTCTCGGCATCAATTTTTTCGAGATGCGCACGTAACCAGCATTTTTCGATACACAGTATCACAAATTACATCGATATTTATTAGAACATCAACTTAAACTGGCAATGATAAGCGTAAATGAAACATCGTCGAGTGTTTCACGATAATGCACTGTAAATTTTGGTTGACGCAAAACAGGATACGTATCAAGTTCAAGGTGTGGAGATCAACCGTCGATGCAAAGGATTCGCGAGAGAAGCTTCCGATGCTAGAAACGATTAAACGAAAAGGGGGCAGTTAATCGTTACGAGGAATGCACGCATTTCTTCGGATGAACGCAAAGCATCCGGCAGTTCCTTTTCCTTGATGCGTGCCGCGAACTTTTTAGATTCGATCGGAACAATTAACCGCGATCCAACGACAAGGATACCCATCTTATGAGAATCGCTCGATATTTCGAGACACAGCTGGCCAGCTGAAACTCGCGACCACCCTTCGTTGACCACCCAACATTCTCATCGAGCATTCTTACTCTTTACACAAACAAACGCATACAGACACACCACTGAATTTCATTCTCCAGAATCTCAGAGTGATTCGTTGCAGCGTTTCTAGCTCGTGTCCTGTTCCAATACACGCAGAAGTGGTAGACAAGGGTGAACAAAATTCAAACAAAATTCAACAAAAAATGAACAAAAAGGATGAATAAGTATTCTTAGTGGTTCTTCGGTACGGTTCTTCCTTCCCATCGATAACAAGCTTATCTCACGCGTGCCATCGGCTCGATTGGGCATAACGTGGGCACACACACGGTCGCAATGATGCACTACCCGCGACATGCGTCGAACGTGTAATTTATGCCTGTTCGAAGCGCGCGCCTCCGTGTGCCGTCTGCCATGTGCTCGTAGTTTACCGAGCATAAACGGCCGCCAGTATATGTTTCCATCCTCTAATAATCTTCGGGGCTCTTTTTTTCGGTCGTGCAAGTGTACATGCACCGGCGGACACGCTGCCGAGCACTGTAATTTCGCGGCACGCGCTCGCAAAAGTTTCGTTGCCGAGGAATTACAATTCCGTACCAGCGAGCGACGGACCAATCGAGGATTCGAACGGGACTGTTTTACTCCGAAGACACGTAGGTAGAATACATTTAGTTCCATTTACTCGCCGCGACTCGTTTCTCTTTAATCCTCTTTCGTTCCGACTTAGCCTCCCATCGAACCGAAACTATCTTCGATGTCACCGTGACCGACGTTAAATGGACTATAAATGATAGCTGGCAATTTTTTATCGTTCAGAATCGCTGACAGCGATGATTTAGAGGTGCAAGAAGTTCTCCTGCGAGTTCTCGTCTCAGCGATATCATTGTAAACGGACGGGTTAGGTGTCGTGAACCGTGAACACGGACGGGCAGAGAGTTCTCGCGACATGCCTAAGGCAATCTTTGATTACCGTGAAATATTAACTGCCATTATCAATTTTAGTCAATTGGAGAGCCTGCGGCGAGACGCGGCGGTCTGTTTTAACCCCTTGTTAGTGTACTGTTTTAACCCCTTGTTAGTGTACTGTTTTACGGCTACACCCACGGAGACCGAGTAATCTTCGACGAATCACCGAATTCATTAGACTCGTGTTCGGCAATTAATTAAGCACAGCTATTTAAAGTCACAGATATCCGTAACTAATTATAAGCAATCATCGCCTCGGCCGAATTCATGTACGGTGATTAAGCAAGCGGCATTCTTTAAAGTCGCAGATATTCGGAATTGAGTTATCATCTTGGCGAGGTGCGATTACGAGTTAATTGCAATCTGTACGACACGAATTAATACGAGGAACGCACCAAAGTGCATAGGTATATATATATGTATAATCGGATTTAAAGACGCGTTGGACAGTCGGAAGAAAGAACAGTGACTAAGCTGCGAGAAGTAAAAGAGAAATGGTCGATTTATTCGTGGCCAAGGATGAACAAGTTCCTTTGTCATGCTCGCGGAGGCTCGCCGTGAAACGTTACAGTAATTTGCTTCACTTTATTTCAGAATGCTGTGGGGAAGATGCGTCTTCTAGTTCTCGTCCTCGCGGGATGCTTGAACGTTCTCGAAATAACTCGTTGTCAAGAGCTTTCGGTCATCCGACACACCGATGGAGATATTTTCACCTTGGAAGGTAAGCCGTGCAACACCGACGATTATAAATCTCCTCGAAACTTCTGCCGTCGTTCCTCTTTCTTCTTGTTCCCTTCCCGTAAATTCTCCGACGTATATACTCGACGCGAACGTCTACTCGAAGAAAAAGTCGAAATTGATCGGAGAAGCGCTTCGATTTCTGCTCGCGAAAGAACGGAACTGTAAATTGCGCGATCGTGATTCGTATTTCCGAGAGAAATCATATGGGATTCCGTTGGAAAAAGAAACGTTACGCGAGAATTTCGTGCGTGCCCCTCGAGCACAAAAGCCGTCTGGAAAAACGCGCGCGAGGCTTGATTAACCGTGAAATTACGATGTAACGGTTTGACAGCTGTATTTCACCTGTTCAGATTATACCGCGCGTTTTGCTCGCACTGCCGCGTGAATTTTCTCGTCTTAGAAATTTATCTTCGTGTGTCTCACGTTGCATGCACGCGGACACGTATGTACAGTTATGTACTTGTATCATTCGGAAACACGAATATCGAAGGATACGTTAACCAGTTTCTACCAATATAATAATTTAACGAGATAGCGAATAAAATTGGGAAATTCTGCCCGTTAGGATCGTGCACGGAAGCTTGCACGGTACTCAGCAGCGGCACGGCCAGCCCTTACTCTCGTAGCCCTGCGACAGCAGGACTAGTTCCCCTTAACAACACTTGCACCTGTCAGTGCAACTACGGCCTTTCTACTTTCCGGGAAGATCTTCATATCTGCGTGAGTGATATCCATGGTAAGTCACTTGAATCCTTGGATCGTACAGTTACTTCTTGTTGAAAGTAATCGACCCGAACCATCGGAATGTTGAAAATACATATATTAAACTCTCGGTATTTTTTTTTTTTTTAGCTTGAGACGTAATGATTCTTGTCTATCGATTTACGGAATATTTCGCAAACCGATTTCCCGTGGAATTATTTTTGAAAATTAACCCGATTAAAATTTATCGTACGTGTACGGCTCACCACGGTTTGATTCCCCTGTATTCATCTAAATCGCGTTTCAACTGTGTTTTGATAGTCATTCGGTGATGTTCGACATTTATTCCGTTCAGCGGTGGAAAACTAGTTTTCTTTTACTTCTTCTTTATAAGATACCCGTTTACATCCACACTCTGGACTGAAATTTTTAAGTCCAGAAACTTCGTCGTCGTTGCCATTTTACCACGTGTTTCGAGCCTCGCGTCTCGCGTTATCCGCTGCATCTTCTGTCGTCTCAGTCGTCCGATTCGCAAGCGAGCAGTTGCGCGCACGTACCGTTTTCAATCGAACCGTGTCATCAGAAATCATTGCTCCAACTGTTCAAGCAAATCGTCCTCGTGCCGTGATTTTCTAAAACTACTTCACCGTGGCAAAACGGTGAACGTTGCACGCTTCATGATTCGTTTGTCTTGATCTCATACGTGCGAATATGTGGAAAAGTCTGCAACTTCTATATACACACGACCAGACTGTCCGACGCGATAAATGCTCCGAATTAATCGCTATCGGGCGAACCTCGCAATGAAAAGCACTAGACTGATTAACGGAATTCAACGAGCACCCTTATTATCGTATGCAAATTAATTGATTCCCATAACGACCCATACACGAATGAGTCGTAAGACATGTAGTTAAATCAACATAATCGCCGGGTGTAGCTGATCGGACTAATTGGATTAATTTACGATTTGAAATGCTACGTAGGGGGCCCGGGCTTCGGATGAATATTGATAGGCAGGCAGAGCGAGAGCCTCGTTTCCAGCCAAGAATCCGATATTACCGATTTCAAACATTTCGACCCAGAAATAATCGTGTAATACGCTATACTTAAAACCTCATTACAGACCGCTACGAATCATTGTTATCGGGTCTTCTAGCAACACCGTGGACGGTAATCCGAACACGAACATAATTTATACATTATGTACATTACATATTGTATTTATGCGGACGCGTTGCTGTTTTCCAAACCGCAACGTTCAGTTCCCAGGAATTTTCAAATGTAATTACTAATTACACAGCTTCTGCAACAACATTGTTTACGCAAGGTAACTAACTCTCGCATATTCGTAGGTTTGCTATTAAAGAGATACCCACAGGGATACGTCGTTTTCGTTGATGTAAGAACAGTTATACAGCGATTGTGATGCATAAAGGGAAAAGTTTCTACAAGGTTGCAGCTTGTCTCGTAAGAACTTGCCCGTAAATTGCCGATTACGGAGATCCCTTGCGGCTTTACATCTTATAGATTCCAAATAACCAGAGAGAGAGAGAGAGAGAGAGAAGCGCAAATGTGAAATATATTCGCTTCGCCATTAGGTGAAACGTTCGTGACCTTTGCGGACCGTTGTACCAGTACTCCTTAGAGATCTCGAATTTCTAGAATCGCGAGGCTCGTAAAAATGCGAAGAGATATACGTAGGCGACCGGAGACTTTGATGCGCGCAAAAGACACGAGGGCGCTAGACAGCGAACCGCTGCATTATACATATACCTATTAACCACTGACTCGATTCATTTTCCTCGATTCGACGTTATACATATGTATTCTATCGAATTCCAAAGATGTTCCCTGTAGTTTAATTAGCGAAGCCCTTGTGAAAAGTGGAACTGCGAGTCCTTATCTCGTAAATATTTTAGGATCAGCTTCTTCGTGGTGACACCGTCGAAGATTATCGCTTCGCAGAAAAATGTTACATTGTAAAGAGTTGCACAACCAGTGTGGTGTGTGTAGTAGACAGATACGTCGGTTGCTTTTCATTACTCATCGTTGTAACTTGTTCGATCCGACGATGAGATAAAGGCGAATCGCCAACGCATCGACTCATTCGAGGCAGCATCGATTCTCGATGAGCGCGGATTCGTACGTCCGCGTCGGCCGAGACCACATGCATTGACCTTCAGCCCTCAGAAATTATCTCGTGTCATTAACATTTGCCATAGCTGGTCCCCAGCGCGGCGTAGCGGTCTCGAAGCACCTTCCGTGATCCACGTGACTCGTTCCTTCCGTTACGACACTAGAATCTCTCAATTTTCAACATGTTGCGCATAACCGTAAACCGTGTCGCCTTTTACCGCCAATAAATACACGATTACGCGTTCAATCGCAGCATTGCGAGACCTAACCCGACCGGACGAACATGTAATTTTCTGTTACATGTAACCGAAGACACGTTCAAAGAAGAACGCTCTTCGCGGCTCGAGTTTCATAGTTGCAATTCGATTTTCAATAACGGACAATCAGATCGGTAGCGGTGAATCAGTCACCGTGATTGAAACGTGAATCCTGGCACGTAGACGACCATCTACCAAGATCGAATGGCAATGAAATGAACCGTAATGTAAATGCTACTTTACACGGAACATTAAAACGTGTTCCGTCGAAAACTTTTCCACCGGCATTCTTTCGTACGATTGGAACATTTTGATAATCATGGAATGTAGTAAGTAATTAAGAAGACTGTTTAATATTTACGAAGCTGACGTAAATGCACGACTTGGAACGAAACTACTGGTTACTCGATGATCAGAGAATCGTGTTTCGTCGTGCTATACCTCGTCCAACGATCGCTAGCCATGAATAATAATGGAATACCCTCGCGATTTCTGGCTGCTATAAGATCCGCGCACGTTTCGCGGCATCTATTAAAGTTTGCCTTGTAATATCGTAGTGTTCGGATATTACAACCTCTACGATGATTTGTGAACATCGTCCGTAGAAGTCACGATCCAGAATCAATAACTTGTTCCAAGAGTATAGTGCTGGCTATACTATAGGAGTAATCAACGAACAGTTTCTTTGTTTTTTTCGCGATGTTTTCGTTCAATGCTTTCGTGACGTAAAAGGGAAGAAAATATTCTAAGGTATTATCGAACGCTTGTGGTATCCATACATGCTAGAGGTGCTGGGAACGTAAAGGGCCAGCATTCCAAGTCTGTTGAGAATGCAAACGGTTCCCATATTCGAGAGACTATAAGATGGTACGAAAGAACCCACATACCAACGGAGCACCGAAGATTCGGCCGATAGATTGTCACGACAATGGCTATCTGCATTCCGATTGCAATAAGATGCAGAGATTTTCCAAAATTTCTCTGTATTCGCACGAAGAAGGTACCTTTGTTTCATTAAGTGCACTTTGTATAATAACTCCAGTTTCGAGTCTTCGAGACCATCCCAGAAGGTTGCAGAAATTCCATCTCGTAACTTCATAGTCCATCCTTCGAAGATCTTCCGAGCCAGTCCAGTAATGATGTAATCGCGAGATCCTAAGTATACCTTATTTGTATATTGTACATACGAAACTTCATTTCCAGCCAACCACGAGCGCTTACGAAACATCTGACAAGCATTGTGCACTGTACCAACCGTACATTTCCCAAAGGGTCGAAAAAATCTTAAGCAAATTGCCAGAGCGCGTCTTTTCAGAGCGTGATTGATGTTGGATGATGAAGGTAGCTTGCGCTTCCTGGACCAGGACAAACTAATTTAGAATTTTCTTTCGACTGCTTTTACCATTGCATCCGTGCAACAATCTACCTTTGAATATTCGTTTTAATTTGCACATTAACCACCGAGTCGTTCACTTTAAGCAAGTCCCATTGTTCTCGGTACACCAATCGCAACCTTAATCTCTCGAAAAGCCATAAACTCGATGTAATACCCGGTAACGCCTAACTATCTACGCAAGCCCGATATCAATTACAAGGAATGACCTGTTTTGCAAATTATAGGTAGGTACAACACGTGCGCGTATTAGTTACGGTAAGGCAAAGATAACAAACCTGTTTATTTGCCTCCTCTAAGTGCACTTATTATTATCATCGTATGGAATGTAAATCTTGTCGAGAAGAAACAACGTCCGTTCATTTCAGAACAAACTGTAATACTTTTTCATTCCTGGACCGTTTCTCTTTCGGCTTCCTGCTTAAATTCGTGCGAGCTGTATTTAAAAATCTAAAGATGACGTTTATATCCTCATAAACAGAGTCGTAAATTATCAAAGATATAGTCGAGAGCATCGTTGGTCGCTATACAAATTTCTTGTAAGAAAAAACTTGTCCGCTCAATCTTCAGTTTTTGTTCGCACGTTGGCAGGTTCCAGGAAATCGTGAAACTGTCATCTCACTTTCGTCAAGGAGCTCCTCGTCAGGGCAAAGACTTCGCGTTCGATTCTTCCCGATCCTCCTCGATCGAGCGTCGATCAGGCGGCGTTTCTCATTAAAGAGCCCACCGAACGACACGATTTACGATAATCGACGACGGCGACCAATTAACGCCGGCAGCTCTCTTCGCGGTGTCCCCGTTCGCATGTAGGAGTATACATATAAGCGAGGATGGCGGCGTCGGCTACTTGTGCCCTCCACGATCGACTATCGGATAACGACCCGCTGATTAACGACCAGCAAGCTCGACCTCGGGAAACGAGTCAACGGGACGATCCACGCCGGTGAACCTTGACCTTCGTCGAGCTAGGTCGAATCCTCGAAACCGAGCGTGCTCTTTCGCTCCATGATAGATAGTGTCACCGCGGAATAGGGATCGTGAAATTATAGGCCTCGTTGCCGATAAGCGCCAATACATTGCCGCTGGGATTGCTTCGAGTAACATTATTAGTCACCGTTTTCACCGTTAAGTCGGCGCATACCATCGTACATTTTAACGCGACGAAAGACACCGCGCGTTAGGAAGATCGAGGAGAGACGCCTCGGACCACTTTCGGTATAATTTCGATGCGAAAGCTTTCGACAA